GCGTGAAAGACAAGGAAGATAGTAGGGTGCTGAAACGGAGAGAGAGAGAGAGAGAGAGAGAGAGAGAGAGAGAGAGAGAGAGAGAGAGAGAGAGAGAGAGAGAGAGAGGGGGAGGGGGGGGGGGGTGTGAAAAAGCAAGCAGAAGAAGAAAGATAAGAGGGAAATATAACCAGAACATGAGAGAAGATTGAATACTCTGAATAGAGATTACGGACGAGGAAGGGATGCCGCCTCTAGATGGTTCAATCAGCCCTTCTGAAATGGATGCCATTACATCAAGTAGTCGACCAGGGAATTCGCACGATGGTGTGTGATTTACTGGGAAATTAAGGCTTTATAGTGGTCAGGATAGGGGTCAGGCACAGAGGTTAAAGTTGGGGTCAGCGGCAGTGATAAGGCTTGGTGATAGAGTAGCTGTTCTGAGCTCGAGAGGTGTGTGTCTATTTTGACGTAATATGATCGCTTTAAGGGAAGGGAAGGGGAATCATCTGGTCTAATGCCCATTCCCAACTGAAATAAGCCGAGTAGGTTAAGATGCATGCACAGGTTTCAGACAACCAAAATCCCAAAATGGTCCAAAGGTCCAAATAAGGCCAATCTAACGGGAGATGCCTGCTCATCATTCCAGTTGGATAACAATTGAACTAATGATGTGCCACTTTAAGACATAGGTGTTAGTGGGTGGAGTAAAATTACGTTTGGCTATAATATAAGAGTATTTTGTACAGGTCACTCTCTTGTTAGAACTTGGGTCCATGGTATCCAGCGTTGGGAGTTTTGTAACTAGTTTCTCCATCAATTTGCTGGAGTTTTGTGTCCCACTCTGGAAGACAGAGTCGAAGTAGCCCGCCACCGTAATGATTATAATGTGTTAATCAGGGCCGAACAAGCAATGCATATTCAATATTCACGTTAATTCCACATATAGTCAGACAGTACACATTTGATCGGTGACTGATTCGGTGATTTGCGCCTTTACACCGGCACTGGCTTTTCTCTGTCAGTAAGTATCTGACAACGTCAAATGAAGGATAAACCAAAAATAGTTCATGTGAATAGCAAACCTAAAAAAAAAACCCAACCAATCGAACCCATTACTACATGTACATCCCGTGCGTAGTGAATATTGCGCATCTGTCGGATCGAACTAAAGAAAGTATTGCGAAACAAAATAGATGTAGTCACCTTGTATTTATTTAGCAGCCCGGTACCGCGTACTTCGCCAGTCCCACAGGGTTACCCACCTTTCAAAAATGCAGCAGTGGAACCCCCCACCTACGCGGCCCATCCTTGCGCGCCTGTATCTGACAGGTGGGTGTTGGGAACATCACGTTATTGCCGAGAGTAGTTTGTCTAAGGCTCTGCCACCTCACTCGTTGGGAGCCGGAGGTATCAGGTTGTAATTGGTGGTGAGTAGGAGAACAGCAGGTGAAGGTCGGCGTACCGGCTTTCTTCACGCCCGCCGGCGTCGCCCACATTGTTTATGTTGTAGAAGATGTTACGAATTTCGCTCGTCCTTTTAGTTCTTATTCTCTCTTTCTTTGAGTATGCGAAGGCGCGCTGTGTGTGTGTGTGTGTGTGTGTGTGTGTGTGTGTGTGTGTGTGTGTGTGTAACGATACAGTCCTAAGTGAACACAAGCTGTGTGCGGCGGAAGCGGCGTCCCGCGAACAGCTTCCTTCTCCCAACTCGAGGGGAATTTTCTGATCAGAACAGCGTAATTCGGACCACTCAACAGACGGGATATGGGTGACATTCAACTTATGTTATCCTACCCTTGGCGGTATGGCGTAAATATGTCCAAGGCATTATAGCTAAAGGTGGATCGGATCAAAGTTGTTGTTGCTGACCTGTAAGTTTACGGGAAGTCTGTGGTGTGGTGGTTAGGTTCCCCGCCGTCGCACGCACGAGACCCACTTTCGATTCTCGGGTGGGGAGAATTTTTACAGAGTATCTAAATCTTTCTGCCGGGACGTAGTGTCCCTTTCCTCCCGGGATGCCCTGATAAAGAGGGTCAAAATTCGTTTAAAACTGATAGAAAATGTGTCGTTGGTGGCGTAAAACATCTATATATTTTTTTAAAGTCCGGCACAAGAAGCATTTCACCAGATACATATATTACCAGCAAAATAGTAACACTGAACAGAAAAAGAATGAGCAGTCCATATTTGAGATATCATGGTGAAATCATTTTTAGGTCAATACCTTTTATGTCCTTTTAAAGCGATAACTATGACCTTATGCAGTTGCAAGCGCCGTAAAACCATATACTAAACACACAAAAAAAGCGATAACCCCAAATGCCCAGAAATTGACGAGCGCCTGATTCCACAACGTCGTGGCACATATATTAAAGCGTTTACCAACCACCCAAACTTTAGACCAAATACAAAAGGGAGAACAGAGAAAAGCGGAAGAAAAATAGAGAAAAACGGAAGAAAAATAGAGAAAAACGGAAGAGCAGGCGACTCCGCATAAAGTATTCCAACTCACGTGACTTTCAGCGTTCTAGGTGTTTTTATATTAAAGGAAAGACTTGATTTTAAAAAAAATTTTAAGTAGTATCCACCGTCCAAAGTAAATACCCAAAACTCCTACTTCCTACAGTGACTCAGATCTATTGTCACCCGAATGAGATTTAGAGATGGAAATTCGAAATAGACAAATATGTTTGGGTGTGACGGAAAAACCTCTGGAATGGGAACAAATCTGAACTCGCATCGATCGCTCCACAGTCAAATGTCTTAGAAATTAAACGTTTTTTCAAAGACAGCACAAAACAAATAAATCAGCGATGCACCTGAAGGCACACATTTATAATTATAATATCAGGTTATGACAAAATCACGCACGCATCCAGGAGCCCTGGCATTCTGCACCGCCTCATTATGATCTGCCACGCTGTTGGCAAACACATTAGGGTTCGCGGTATGTTGGCAGCGAAAACAAAGACACCGGAAAGATGGTCGTAAAGCGTACAGCTAGGCAGAATTGGCATACACTACATGATCTCTCTAAGAAATGAATTCAGCTCGATTCGTCTGATCTCACCTGCAGAGAGATATGTTTACACCCATATATCTAGACGCATAAGATTACCAAAGACTGGGGTACATTGAAGCCGCCCTCATCAACACTTGTGTAGCTCGTATGAGAGCTGGGATGTTCCGACCCTGCCTGGACAAACCCACTCTGAGTGGGATTCATCCTAGCAGACAGACGGAGATACTCTATTGAGAAGACTTTTCCCACCCGGGAATCAAACTCATGCCGTCTGCGTGCAACTGTGGAAAGCTAGACCGCGCTACACCAAAGACGCTTGTTGTTGTGCAGATGACACATCGCTACCTTAAAATAACAACGTTGTATCTGAAATTTTTAGCCGTTCTGAGTTACTAAGACCAATAGGTCAGAAACCAAATGTTCTGTCTGCTCCATCAAAATCGTAAGATTATTCGGGGTCGTTATCGAGACATTCAAAGAACTGCATTCCAAGAAGTTTGACATGTTGTGAAACTCAACATTTATTTTAAACGTCAAATTGTTCAAAACTAGGCACTGAATAGATAAAACTTTGTAATTCTAAAGTATCCACATTCGGTGGTGCAGAGACAGAACGAGTAAGGCAACAGTACAGATTCTTGGTTTCCAACATTTATTGCCTCTTGTGCGAGGCTAGCAGATGACGAGGTCCCATCATCAAGTGTACCTGCCATCTGCAGGTTTAAAACAAAAATCAAGTACGTGTGAGTCATCCGTTCGTCCTTGCGCGCGCAAAACCTGGGGTTATAACCGGAAGCGTTTATGACTCCTGATAACAACATCCGAATCTTGACACTTTTTATCGCTTGCAAGATGCGTCATGTCGCGCGCACATGCGTCTTCGCATTTTTCTTCACTAAACGGGGGCAATCAGCAGGGAACGAGACAGAGAAAGAAAGAAAAAACATACATTTACAAAAAGAAAAGAAAGAAAATACGGAACAGTTAACTTGTAATGAGGTGGTATGTCTTAAACACCTCCTTCAACACTACAAGGTTATCAAGAGGCGTGACCTCCGAATTTTATCGCCCATCTCCGATAGGACTAAGCCACATTTTTAAGTAAGTGGAGAGCCTTAAAATCTCAAAGAAGATGCTAAGTTCAAGAACAACTAGGGCCTTCCTCACTATAATATAGCTCAGCATGACTTATCACCTAACAGACAGATAGTGACAGAGGCACAAACGGGGAATTAGAAAAGGGTTGGGGGTGAAAAAAGGGAGGGGGGGGCGAAATTAGGGGCTTGGTTCGAACCTAAAGGGTTCTTTGACGAAAGGAAACAAAACAGAAAGGAAGCAAGAGTCAGGGTGAGAGGTAAGAGAGGTGAGAGTGTGTGTGTGTGTGGGTGGGGGAGGGGGGGGGGCGTGCCCAAGAAAAGAAAGAAAAGAAAGGTGGAAAGGTGAAGAGCAGAATGCACCATGTTTAGTATAGTTTTAGTAAGAGTTTTGCGGCACTTACAACACAAGTGGGTCATATAAGTGCCAGAAATAAGAGGTATTACAGAGGTAACATACAAAGAAAAGGATGGGAGAGAAGGGCGATAGGAATTTGCTATGAAAGAAGAAGCAAACCACGCCAGAGTGCCCGCCAGCCAGCCACCAACGTGCACCAAGTGACATCTCGAGGCATGGAAGGGGGAGGGGGAGGGGGAGGGGGAGGGGGAGGGGGAGGGGGGGTTCAAACGCAAAGATGTGAGTACTCACCCTGACTTTGGGAACCACCCGCTTCATGCATTCTGCGTTGTTGTCCCTGAGCAGAGCCGGCAGGTCGGTGATTACACTCACTCGCTGCACTTCCTGGCCAGAGCTAGAGGGGCAAGAAGAAAAGGAAAAAGAAATGGTTAATTATTATATCTATCTGTATATGTGCGTTTGGTTAATACGGTTGTTGTTTTTTTTCGGCACTTGCAACACAAATAGCTCATAAGTGCCGAAGATTAGAGGTTTTACTAGAGAGGGTTTTTTGTAGTTTTTCGTTTGTTTGTTTGTATGTTCGTTTGTTACCTCTAACATAAACATTAAGACCGAGACAAATGAGTGCAAAATAAAGTCTTAACAATCCTTAAAATAATCCAAGTTCAGAACACCCTGTTCGGAATTCGAACCAAAACCAAACGCTCTGTAGTCCAGCATGGTATGCAGAAAAAAAGACAAAATGCATGCACATAAAAATAGAGTAGAATGAGCGGACCACCCAAGGACGCCCACCAACCACCTGTTTTCACACTGGGTGTTGTTTTGACGCTGCTGATCAGGCAAAAGCGGAGCTGCTGAGTGGGATGCAACATCCGTGCAAGAGCTAAAGTGAAAATTGAATTTATCTTTTCTTCTGTTTTGATGCGGCTGTTGTTGTTGTTTTGCGCGTGACAGTGCAATGCACAACCGTTGCACCACTTACAGCTGGTCTTTCTTTCGTGGTTGTTATGGATTGGGGGGGGGGGGGTGTTGACTGTTTTTTTATTTGTTTGTTTGTTAACTTTAAAAGAAAAAAGTTCATTGGCGACATATACTCTTAAATGACTTGAGTATTTTCAAGGAGAGACAAATACAAAATCGAAGAAGAAAGTCATACGTCACCAATCACCAAGTTAGTTTAATCAGAGTTTTACTTTACGGCGCTCACAACTACATTCCGGTAACCAATCGCTAACGTTTTACCCCGATTTGTTTACACCCGAAACTCTGAAAACCAGGGATAGCAGCACCCGCGGACAGCCCTCTGTAACTTAACAACACATCTGGGACAAGCACGGCCTGTGTAACGGCTATCATAGAGCTGCCCTCGCCACGTTCAACATAGTTTGCCACTCTAGTTTTGGCAGGAAACCCGAAGACATAAAAGCAAACAAAACAAAAACAAGACAAAACAAAACAAAAACAGAAGAAAAAAACAAGACAAAAACAAAAACAAAACAACAACAACCAGAAAAACAGCCCTACAAAGGAAGAAAAAATGAGAAAAAGATGAAAACGAAGCTCATAGACACTCAGAAGACCACTGATCCCGGTCCGCGCGGCAGACGACATCTGGGGGCATGAAAACACCATTAACATTTACGCCGCGGCACTGCGCACTCTTCTTTGCTCCCGTTCTGGCTGCCGTGCATACGACAACAACCAAAAAATCCCCCAAAAATAAAAATAAAAATAAAAATAAAAACAAAAACAATACTAAAACGCAACGAAAGTTGTTTTTTTTTTTTTTTTTTAAACCCAACCAAATCGTACAATCAGCACTCTCGACCACCGAGCCAGACCCGTCCCAAAACAAGCCTGGGAAGGGGAAACGCCATGGTTGTTTTTTTTTCTTTTTCTTTCTTCCTTCTATTCTATATGTCATCCCGCCGTGTACAAGGTCTTTGGGGTTACGCCGCGATAAAGGGCGGTGGGAAAACAAACAACCTGTAACAACAGACAGAGCACAGTGTTGCCTCGCACAATCGTACACTTTCGGGGGACTGGGGGTGTCGGCCTACGCGTGAGTGAACAAAAATGAACAAACGACAGAAGGTTCGTTTGTTTTAGTAGGAGTTTTACGGCACTTGCAATATAAATAAGTCATATAAGTGCCGAAGATTGAGTTGTTACGAGAGTACTATACGAAGAAAAGGAGGAGAGATAGGGACGATAATATATCTTTAAAAGGAAAGAAGGAGCAAACCACACCAGAGCGCCCACTTCCAGCTCATTCGGCAGCACGATCATTGGTAGAGAAGTCGAGTTTACAAAAGGCCTTTGTACTGGATTGAATCTTGCTGACTATTGGACGTTCGCGGTACCCTACAACTATTTTGTCGATCATGAGCGGTACAGTTTATGGTTAGAAGTATACAAGGAGTCAGAGCTATAACAGGGAGAAGCCGGGATCAGAGTAAAATTGATTGTAAAAAACCCACTGCACGTTAGGGAAAATCGAGACAAATAGGCAAAAAATATGAGAGTTAGTTTAGGAAGAGTTTTACGGCCTCGCAACTGCATCAGGTCATTTTCACAATATGAGCGTGAAAGAAAATGGCTACGTTCACAACAGTTATCAGCACGACTCGCTTTTGGGCAACGATCAGATTTTTAAAATCGTAAAATTAAAATGAATATAAAAAATATAAAATAAATAAAAATAAGTAATAAAATATCTACCCCCACTATAAGCGCGCTGAGCTGATATCAGACAAAGCACATGTTTTTTTAAAAAGTTATATAACATAGGGGAAATCGAATACTGCAAACAAATACACCAACTCATTTTGCAAAAAAGTAATGAACACCGTAAACAGATAAAAAGAACTGTCGTGCAACACTCCACACATTATACACCCGGAGGGACCTGTTCGATGCCACGATTGCAATGCAAACTAGAACACGGCGTTTTGGCAACTCGCATGACACGATATAATTGTCCCAATTCGACGCCATATAGAGCTATCTCAGGCGGGCTGTCTACTCAGTGAATTTTTTCCCTAACTTTACCACAATTATCTGAACGTGAGCGTTTTTGTCCCCGTTGCCCCCTGAAAGTATCGGATTGCTCCGGAGCGACAGTAGAATTTTTAAGCATGCTATAACTACGCAGATCATTGCAAACTGCTTTACGTTCCTGCATAACCGCGCATGTTATCATGGTGGCGTCATGCACTGGAGAAAAGCAAGAGCCAGGGAATCTGGTCGTTCTCCGTCAGTAAGAGCTTTGAGCTTGAGTAGTTTTTGTTTGTTTTAGTAAACGTTTTACAGCACTTGCAACACGATGAGGTCACTTAAGTGCCGAAGATTAGAGGTGTTTAAGAGAGTAAAAAACACACATAAAAAGGACAGATTTGGGGCGACAGACGATTTATAGGAAAGAAGGAGCACCCACCAACCAACCACCGCTTGAGTAGGGAGAAGCACGTCAACCCAATATAAAAGTCATTTAGAGTAGGACAAAAAACGGACAGACAGACAGACGGATAGACGGACAGACGGACAGGCAGACGGACAGACAGGCAGACAGACAGACAGACAGACAGACAGACAGACAGACAGACAGACAGACAGACAGACGGAGAGACAGACAGACAGACAGACAAGGACGGCAACTCCAAAATACACTTCACCATTTTACCGCCAACCGACGAGAGTCTGCTCAATTGCAATAAATCTAGAACTTAATCAATTCCTCCCAGAGAGCCCATTGCATGCAACAAGATTTTATAAAAGAAACAGCATGGACATTGGGTTTTAGTTTACGATGAATCAGCGCAGCAATAACCATATATCACCAGGAACAAATTAAAACAGCAGTATCTGTAACAAAAATAGAAAGGGCAAACCACGCTAGATGCTAGGCTGTAGTTTACGGGAGGACAGCACTTCCACACGATTCGAATAGGCCTTGTTGTGTTTGGGCAGTTCTAGTTAGTTTATTAAGAGTTTTACGGCGTTCGCAACTGTATAAAGTTAAATGAGCGCGCGAAATACAAGTTGGTTGCATTAACAACATTTCACGGAACGGCTTGATTTAGGTCAATATTCCGATTAAAATGTTAAAAAATTTATAGTAAAACCTGTTTTAAAATAATATTTGGACAGTATGAATTAGCCAATCGACACAATAACGGCCATTTGGCTCAGGGAAGAAGTGAACCTAACCAGCATAAACAAATTAGGGGGAGTAAATAAGGTTATACGCTTTTTGCATCAGTGGCAAAAATCCTTATACTTATGCAATCAGAAAATTAACAAAGTTCTGGATGCAAACAAATTAGGCACGAAGTATTTAACTGTGAGGTGTTTTGGTCTGGGGTGTTAATTCCCCTTTTCACACGAGAACGTTAATTAAGACAATGTCCTTCCCTAGCGAGACGGCGAGACGTCGACTGCAGCTCTCTGACTTGTGTAACAGGCGGCATAGTTTGGTGAGAGTAAGTCAATTGCAACACACGAAGGTCAATATATAAGTGCCAGAGATTAGAGGTATTACAAGAGAGTAACAAACACACAAAAGAAGGGGGAGACACCAGGACGATAGATGTTTGACAGAAAGAAGGAGCAAACTACACCAGATCATCCGCCAACCATCCGCAGAGTAAATAAATACGGTCGTAGTTAGTAAGTAAAATTTCCAAACCACCCTCCGACATCTATTTTCGAGAGGGCAATGAATAATACATTTCATAACTCGAGTTATCCCCATCATCATCCTCCAAAATTTACCAAATCACCCACAAGTGAGTGATATCGACCAGGTTGGCAGGCACTGCCTTACTCCATGTCCTTTTCCGACAAGACTGTGACAAGACCTGGGAGGTGAATAGCCACGAAGACTCCCCAGCCAGCGTAGTCTAAAACTATACTCCGAGTAGGTGATTCGAACCAGGGTCGTCTAAACCTAGTCCAGTGTAAGTGTAACACTGAAAGAGCAAACGGCATATCTGCACTAATTTGAAATAAAACAGGAAGTCCTTTGAACTGACGCCAAACTTTTGGCTCTAGGGTCTGTCATACTCTTTGCAAATAGCCTCATTTAAAAATCCGGTCTATTCTTATCACATTCTTCGTCAGTTCAGGTGGATCTTTCAGCACCTTACCATGTCATACATACACAAAGACGGGGCTGCTATCTTTAGTTAATGACCTAACACCCACGAAGAAAGAGCCGAGGAGTGACGGTAGATGCGGTGTTTGGACACCCCCATAACAAAAACGCCTACGCCCTGTTTCTGAATTTAGAAAACATGAATTAGCAGGGCGGTTCTACACGACACACCTGGCCTGAGATTTTCGTGGAAGAGAAAAAAAAAGAGGAGGGGGGTATAGAGAAATATCTTAACA